AGGTGATGCTCACGTGGTCTTCTACTCTCCACCGCTGGAAGTTGTTAATTTAGTACAACAGGACTCTTGCTGTTTGTAATTTGGCAGTATCTAATTTTGTTTTTGTTTTTGTTTGGGTTTTGAATCTATAGCCTTCATATGGTTGGGTTTGGGTTTCTTCTGCTTGAACATTTGGATTCTGCTTGTCGTATCTAATTTTGCCACGTTATATTCAGCCCAATAAATTTGAAAATTAATAATCAAATTAAATAAAAATTAATTAATTAATTCAGTTATTTTGATTAGTTTGATTAATTTTAAATTGGATTAACTGATAACTGATATTTTAAGAAATACTTAATTATTGATCAATTTAATATTTAATTATTCAATTAATTAATCAAACTATTAATTTGATTCAAACCGAATAATTAGCCGATTGTCATTTGCACACTTTTTCTTTTTCCCTCCGTTTCGCATTATTTTCGAAATTCATTATTTTTTATTTAATTGTACAAATACTAAATTTTTTTTTTTTGAATTTGACGTCATAATTTTTTTTGTTGGAATTTGTAGTCATCCTGGTCGTAGAGATTCGAGTTTTACGAGAAAATCCAAATAAAATAAATTCTGGATAATTTAAAAAATAATTATAAAATTAGTTAAACAATTTCAGAAACAATAAAATAATAAATAAATTATCGACATTAACAAAACGTAAGAACTTGGAAAAGGTGCATCCTTTGCTCTCTCAGACTCTCAGTCACTCACCTTCTTAATCTTTAGTTGAGGAGAAATTTAGTGATGAAATTTAGTTGAGGAGAAGCTGATACCGGCGATTGCCGATGTCAGCCCTGTTTTCGATTATACATCCAGATTCTGCTTCATTGCTCCTTATGGGTATCTAAATCTCTATTCACCCTTTTATTTTTAGCTTGCGTTTTCCAATTTCAAAGCTTCATTTTTTTAATCTAAACCCATTTCTGTTCCTATTTTTCTTTTATTCACCTAATGAATGCTGTTGGAGTTTCCTCATTTTCCATCTTCGGATCAAACGGTATTCTTTTCTTATGGCAAAATAATTGGGGGTGGGGGGAATCAAATCTTGCTGAAGATTTGGGTATTTGCATTGTTGTTCAAGGGTTAGAGTTGCTGACATTGGTTCCAATATTTCTCATGATTGTTCCCTTATGGCTGACATAAGTTTTTGTTTGCTCTATTTAAGTTATTGATTGAATCCCCCCCACCCCAATTTTTTTTCCTGTTTTGCCGAGTATATTGATTTTACATGTTAAGCGTTGACCTTTATTTTTTTGCACGATGCTGATTCAATTAATCCTTTGCAATTCCAGGTCATTGGATAGAGGAAGTGGATTCATCTCTTTAGAGTATAGCAAATAATGTGATCATGTTCATATTTGTAGCCTAAAATAAATTATTCGAGATTTCTTTACGAGATTCTTGCCTTAAAAAGATCACCATTGTTTAAGTTTAGAGCTAGCAATGTTTTCTTTATGGTAGGATTCTGGTCTCTTAATGTATCACTTTTATTATGCCAAGGACTGGTGTAGATAGTTTTAATTTTTCACAAGGTCTTTCAAAGTTACTCAGATGCAAGAGACTAAATTGAAGAGAGCATCTTAATCTTTGGACTATGGTTGAGATTATTGCCATTTGCCAATAATTTTTGTATGCACATTTTAGGCATTTCATACGTATGTAATTGGTCAATTACCACCCATCGTTCATAACTATGTAAACTATTGAATCGTTTGAATATTATGTTGCATAGTGTTCTCCCTGCTATTGAAGAAATCTAATAGATAAATTGTTCCTGCAATGAATCTCTGGAGATCAGTGATAGTTGTCATTTCAAGTCTTGTTTGGACTTTAGTTGTCGATTCAATTGTTTCACTACTCGAAAACCTTTTGCACAAGGTCTATTTTTTACGCAGCAGTGCATTATGTCAAACTTTATGTGAGATTATCCTATTGCAAAAATCATCATAAACCAAGTAACGAACATGATTTATTCTGTGTAATTTTTTCTCGCCAACTGTTTCACAGTTTTAATTAACTACAATTGATTATGGGATTGTGATCATACTTCAATGTTTTATGTTCATGTTGCATTACGATTTCAAACTTTTGCTGCTAATGATAACCGCATTTTGAATTATGCAGTTGTGAAGATTGATTGAGGATTGGTCAATCAGTTGCATCAAGAATTACTTAAGATCCTTTAAGTACCAAAATCTTCTTTATTTGCATTATTAGCTTTGGTCAATTCTGAAAGCCTTGTGAACAATTGCTATTGCAATGTCCCTTTTATCCAGATTACGATGTATCACTGTGGATGTCACTGGGACCCTCATAGCTTATAAAGGGGTGCTTGGTGATTACTACTGCATGGCAGCAAAATCTGCTGAAATGCCATGCCCTGACTATAAACGAGTGCATGAAGGTTTCAAGCTTGCATACACAGAGATGGCAAAGAAGTATCCATGTTTTGGGTTTGCAGCAAAAATGCCGAACATTGTATGGTGGAAAACTTGTGTTAGGGATTCATTTGTCAGGGTAAGATATTTGTATTATGCTATCGAAGGAGTTATTTCATACTGCCGTTGCATATTTACCTATACAGAGTGAAGAGAGAGAGATTACTTGTTATGACATTAGTCTTATTTCGGTAACAGGCTGGATATGAGTATGATGAGGAGACATTTGAGAAGATATTTAGACGCATCTATGCTTTCTTTGGCTCATCTGCACCATATTCGGTATTTCCAGACTCCCAACCCTTCCTAAGATGGGCTCGTGAGAAGGGTCTTAAAGTGGGGATCATAAGCAATGCTGAATATCGGTACCAAGATGTGATTCTTCCAGCCTTGGGTTTGAACCAGGTAAAGTTGGATTGATAGCATATTCTTGGACTGCAATTCTTATTATGTTCACCTCTTTTTTATCTAGTTTGGGAGGAAATTAGTTTGATCATTCATGGGTTTGAAACCTTGTTGACTTATTTGTTTCCATAGTTGAAACTGTTGGTTACAGATATGAGGTAAGCGCGCATGTGTAAATCGTGGAAGTAGTACGACGCTGCAAATCTCAATGTGTACTTAAAAAATGTGGGATAGTTTGCTTGTTCCTCTGCGACATAATGCTGATGATATTTTTCGATTGTTGATTTTGGCTAGATAATTTAATCTGATGTTTGTAATTGAAACTCACATCTACATGGTGTTTTAGGGATCGTAGTGGGACTTTGGTGTGTTCTCTGGTCTTGAAGGAGTAGAGAAACCAAACCCGCGGATTTACGAGATTGCGCTTGAGAGGGCTGGCAGTATTGCAGCAGAAGAGACTTTGCACGTCGGTGACAGTTTGCGCAAAGACTATGTCCCAGCAAGGAGCGTGGGGATGAATGCCTTGTTATTGGATAGGTTCAAAACTCCCGATGCCGAGGAGTGGAGAAAATCGGGTGCTATTGTCCTTCCCGACTTGGAGGCGGTGCGGGAATTGCTTTCTTCAGAGAAGTCAGCTTCAACTTTTTAAGGAAATGCTCTGTCATCTGTAAATTGCTCTGTTTTAATCGTCTGGTTAATAAATATGCGATACTAGTACTTGCCAGTTAACTTACCAGATGGTATGAACGTCTTGAAATTTGCTGCTAAATAGTGTTATTTTTTTGTTCTGAATCATTACCAACATTGTCTTCTTTTGCGGATCATAGAAGAGAAGACTCTATTCCTTTCTTCGTTGTCTGTTTCACAATTTCCTCGTGAAGTACTGGCAGTAGCAAGTAATGTTAAATTATAAACAGAACTTTATTTCAGGAATTAAGTTACCCTAGTGGCACGAATCAGTGGTTTTCGTGACAAATGAATTGTTGTTATTCCTTAAAATTATGGGTTCGAGTAGGGATGACAACGGTTTGGGTTAGGATTAGGTTGGGTTAGGATCGGGTTTTTGTTCAACCCGACCCGAAAATATGTACCCTTCATCAGAACTCGATCCGACCCAAAAAGTATATATCCTCCATCTGACCCGGCTGGACCGAAAATATATCTTCACAAGACTTCAACCCGACCCGATTTTTTTAGTATAAATCCGACTCGATATAAAATAAAGATTTAATTAAAATATAATATTTTTTAAGGAAATTACATTATTATCTTCTGGTTGAGTTGAGTTAGAGTTTTTTCACCCTCTACCCGAACCTGACTCGACTCGAACCCGAATCTATTTTTTTTAAATCCGACCCCATCATATTCGGGTTAGATTATCATCCTTAGGTTCGAGCCTCATAGATGTCAAGGGTGTGAGCTTTTAATGTCAAAAAGTTGAGAGTTTATCTTTGAACATATACCGCCTTGTACTTACCTCAGATTAATAAAAAAACATAAGTTATCTCAGTAGTTAAAGGAATGATTGTTGTTCCTATAGATTTTAGATTCGATCACCAATGACCGCAGAGTATTTGAGCGTTTATTGTCAAATAGTTACCACTTGTATTCTCTAGATTAATAAAAAAGCCTTGGATTTAAAGAAATCTGTCAGGGCCCAAACCGAGAAACACAAATTTGGAGTCCATATAATATAGGTAGGGATGAGTTCGAGTTTAAAGTAATAAAATATTTGATCCGACTTAAAAAAAATAGTATAATTAATTTTTATATATTTATATACGGTTGTTGTAATATTCATTTCTTTATATTTTTTAATTAGGTATTTATTTTAATTAGTAAAAATAAAAATTATATATATATATATATTGAAACTTGAGTAGGATGAATCTTTTCTAAATCCAGATGAGATCACAAGTAGAGACATATTGTATTTGAATTAAATTCGAATGAACTAAAAACCCCAACCGATGTATGACCAGACTTAATTATAGATAGCATTGGATTTAAATAACTCTGCCAAGGGTCAACTGAAGCGAAGCCCAATTAGAGGTGAGTGAGGAGCCCCCTGTATCATATGGAATTGATCGATTACGAAGGGGAGTTGGCCAGCTGGGCTGTTATTTCATAAGCGGCCGCCGCGGCCACCGCATCTTATTTAAACTTCCGCCAAACCCAAGCTAAAATTGCTGCGCGTTTTTGTTTCTCTGCCAAAGACATGCCACAAGGTTGTTATATTTTTGCCCATTCTTCTGTTTCGAGTCGATGTGTAATATCGATAAATAAGAGACGAGTTAATGGTATTTGAGTTTGATGCAAATGCAGAACTCCCTGGGCTTTACTACGATGATGAGAAGAACAGGTATTTCCCGATTAAACCACGCATACCTGGATCGTCTTCCGTTCCGCCGTCCCAAAACAAGCCTCTTTCTAGCTCCGTTCAGGTAACTCCCTAATAACGCCCGATTCTTGCTTCCTCTTCTTTATGCTCGAATCAAATGATTCTTTCAGTAATTCATGTGTGTACTTCTGAATTTATTTTGCATCTGCTTCCGTATTTGAGACCTTTCGAGCTTTTTCATTTGAAACGCTTTTCATCTGATCATAACCATTATAATTACGATATTTAATTCTCGCGGTTTTTCACTGCTAACTGTTTCTTTCTTAACTTTTAACTTTACTATATGCATACTTATAGGCTATTGTTTTGCGCCTTTCTTGTTGCAGGCAACCAAGTTATTTCCACAAACCAGTGCTCCTACCTCTAGGCTTCTTCATCTCAGAGAGTTGAACGGCGGTTGTTTTTGTTATGATCGAGGGAGGCATAGCTTTCAGGAGGAATTCCACAAGTTACATGCGTCTAAACCCGTGGTAATCTGCAAGTTGCCTTTTTTCACTTTCCAATTATCCAAAATTTACAAATTATTCATGTTAGTATACTAGCACATTAGTCATTCTTTAGCATTCTAGAGGATTAATCAGAATTTTGTTCCCTAAATTTCGTAATGATAATCACTTAGTCTTCATTACCTTGTGTTACAACATTCTAGATTTATTTCAGGTTTGGAGATATGGTGGGACAGACACAAATTTAACAGGAGTCAATATACGTTTTAGTGCTTTGGAACATACTCAAATTGATGTACAGACACTGGACGGTCAAATGGAAACAGAAGTTCTGCTTGCGGGCAGTATAGATGGCTCCTTGAGGTATTATATAGAGTTGGAAATAGACATATAGATGTATTTGCATCCTCTTCCATGTACAAGATGTCTTCAAAATATTTTCTGTTGTATAAAATTTACAACTTTAGATGGACCTATAATCTATTAACACACGATGCATAAGCTGTTAGCATTTTTTGCTCCTATTACATGCACGGCCGTCAAAATACAATTTGCCGAAGTGTGTCATTGATTACTCTGCTTAGAGTAATGACATCTTATTTAGAATAATTGTCCTTCCAGTGATAATACATCCCCGAAGGACTGGACAGTTGGGTGACCTAGGCATGCCATCCTTCTTGCAACTTGCAATGAAGTGTGATATAAATAGGAGTCTTTCTGTTCGTTATACCATCTAAATTAGGTATTTTTCTCAATTTTGTTGCAACATTGGAATTTCTACATATCTTTTCTTCCTCACAATGATCTAGTGTTACTCTTGCATTACCATCTAACATTATATATCTCTTACAATTGTTGTGTTGGAGCTTTTACATGTTATGTTGCATGATCATTCTCCTACTACTGCAACATACATGTGTTAGTATGTTGGACCTTTTACATGTTGTGTTGCATGATCATTCTCCTATTATTGCAACATACATGTGTTAGAAAAAATACTTCTACAAAATGAAGACGTTAACATTGACTAGTACAAACAATAATGAATAAATGAAAATAACGGAATAAAATTATTGTGTCGTGTAAACCACTGCCTTAGAAGCAATTTCGCCTGGATTGGTGTAATCCAAAAAGTGGAGCACCCCCACCACCCAAAAAAAAAACCCAAGGTTAACACAGTCTTCCAAACTTTGTATACCTGAAATAAGGAAGTGGAACTCTCTTGGTATTGCTCTTTTCAAAGAGAAAAAAAAAAACAGAGAAGCAAATAAATTTTGGCGTGTCAAATAATGAATTGCAGCTTGGTATTTATAAGGAAAGACCAGGGGTAAATCAGTAAGAATGACGAGTCAGTTATCACAAAATCTCTATTGCCCCAAATATAATTTAAAATTTAAATCTTATTTAAAAGTAGTAAGATTTCCACTTTTTTTTTTTGTTTGAATTATCCAACAACATGCACTTGTTCTTTCTCACTTCCAATTTTCAATTAAGCTCTATATTAAATTGTATTTATAAGCATTTGTCGCATTGAATTTCTATTTTCTTCTAGATGTTATTGTGACATAGGTGTATCTTCTTTCAATGGCATTGCAAAGGAACTTATATATCATCCATTTTCTTTGAAATCTTCTATCAGAGTTGCGGCACTTTATAAACATTTGGATTGTGTTTTAGCTATCGCTTTTGATGTTTGTTTTTTCGTGCAGTCTCTTGAAGGTTGGAAGTCAACACCATTTTGACTATGGGATCACGTACATTCCTAATCATGTTTGGCCTTTCACCAAAGGGGAGGCAGAAAATGGAAAAACACCTCCTTATGTCTGGAGGCCTGCAGCTGCTCCACTCCGTATGCCATCAAGAATATCTTCTCTGAGATTGTGTGAAAAGCAATCTTTTTTTTCAAACAATGATTCCAAAGTCCAATGCGCATTGTATCCTTCAGCGATTGCTTATCTTGACAAACTCTTTAATATTTGTCTTCTCTTAGAATCATTTATTTAATTTATGTGAAGCCAACACTTAAATGTTCCTTGAGCTGAAGACACTAAGTTATATCGTTTAAATCCACTGGATAGGAAAAACAATTTTTTATTAGATTCGTATCTCTCTGATATGTTGACAACTGTCGTGGTCCTCTAGATTTGCTGTTCAAGAAAGGTCCTGGTCCAACTTCTTAGTCAATATATGAATGGTCCCTTTTTCCTCTTAGCTGAAGACATTAATTCCTGAAATATTCTAATCTTCTCTATGATCTGGGTGGCCTATAGTTCAGTCGTTTATGGAGCATGGAATGGCACTTTACCTAATGGACATAATTCATGGGTTATATGATTTAATGTGCTGCAGTCTGCACTCCAGCCATAAATTCCTCAACTTTTCTTATACATTAAGAGATTTGTTTTTTCACCTGCAATATCTTAACATATAAAACAGGATAACTACACTGGGATCTGAGAATTCTGGTGGATTTATTTATATTCTTAATCTCCTGGAACCAGTGGATTTTACTTCTCGATTGGATCAAAGGCTACGCACGGTTGCTTCTTTTGACCATACCATTTGGACTGCTGATTATAATTCTCATAAAGCTCAAGTAGTAATTGGCAAGTTTCTTGTTTCTCTCATTTGCTTTTAAGCTTTTGGTCTTGTTAAGTTATGCTTGTTTTGTATTTGCAGCATGGGATTTTATAGCTTTCCAAAATTTTATGACATATCTATTCCTATAATATGCTTTGTCCTCTAGATGGAATCAATGACCTTTCTTCCTAGTCTTTAGTTTGATCAGTAACGCAAGGTCCTTCGCTATCATCTCCAGCCATGTCTTACTCAGTCTAGTCTAGAGATGTTGAAGTAAACAATTCCCCTTGTATTAGACATAAATTTGTGCCCCTTTGGGTTAGGGTTTAGCATTTTCTACATTTTCTCTACTTTTCTTCGATCACAACTGCAATTAATTGGGGAATTCTCGTGATAGTTATGTTGATGTAGCATTCCTCTCGCGGTATCTTATTTGAACAATTGTCCTTTCCTGACAATATAGAAAAATGAAGCGGTGTGTGACTTTTAGTTGCTTTTATCTTTCTGCCTGTAATGACCAGACACTTATATATGCCCTTTTTTCTATTGTTATAGGAACCAATGCTGGAGCTGCCTTGGTTGATGTCGAAAGAGGAACATCAAAATGGGTGTGTCGTAGTAAAAGTGATGTTTTTGCACTACAATTTGATCAGACAGTAAGTATAATATCCTTCAAGGTTTTGGCCAGTGATCTTGAAGTCCTCTTTGATAATATATCCGTTTGTAAGGGGAAAACAGTTTCATTATTATTAGAAATTTAGAATTCAATGTTGCTTAGTTTTGTTTCTCCTGTCACCTAAAGGATTTTGAGGTTCTGGACCTTTATTAGTCAGTTTGAAGCTATTTATTGTTTTTTATTCATCTTAACTAGCGGCATAATGTTCTTTTGATAAAGCATGTATGATATATGCTCTGAGTCTGGCAAGGAAGCATTGAAGCTTGCAGCATACATATACCTTCAAGTTAATCCTCAATGTAACTTATTTCAGGGAAATATTGTTCTTTGTGGACTCAGAAACGGAGCAATTGTCACTTTGGATGTTCGTGAGAACCAGGAGCGCATAGTTTCTAGACTTACTAAGCTTCAAACACCATACTCTTCATCAGGAAGAAGTAATCGGAGAAAATGGTTTGAGGTATCAAGTTCCATTTAGAGATCTAATCACAGTTTTATATCTGCGTGTGATGAAGACAAATGATTATTCTGAAACTGGGTTGTGTTTTTAACAGTAGACATGATACATATCACCATCTTTATCTTCTTTCACAACCTGATGAGGTTCCACGATTGCAAATCATGGATACTGCAGTTGTTTATTGTGCTTTTTAGTTTTTTCATATATAACACGATGTTACTTTAGTTATAAAAAAAAACAAAAAACACGATGTTACTTTAATTCATGCTTCATTCCATCTAGTATCTGGGAAACATGTTGAATATTTAACTAGGAAGTTCTTTTTTATTGCATCAGAGGTTTATGCTTCTGGTTGTCATGTTTTACAGATCAGAGGACTCGTATCTCCTTCTCATACAATTTATATGCCATCATCTATTTCTAGGTTGGTGAGTTACGATGTTTTCCTTAACCTGCTTTATGGTCTTCTTCATTTGCTTTGAGTTTATTAACTCCTATGTTTTCTTACCTCAAGTTTGGTATCACTTCAATCCTATGATCAATACTTCTTAGCAAGCTCGATGGATGGTTGGGTTAGTTCCTTTTGTCCAGTTAGCTCTTATGCTAGATTTTGCTTTGCTGATTTATTGCCTTCGTACCTAATTTCCCTATGTTTATGTGGATGGATACTATTTTTCGTATTGACGACTTGATAGATGAAGCTTTACGATCACCGACTAACTAAGAGAGGGGCTGTACAATCATATGGAGGGCATGTGAATTCCCATTCTCGTATACAGCTTGCAGTTGACCAATATGAGAGATTTGTTATGTCAGGTAAGGTTCGACAACAGCAGTATGAATGGTCATACACTGTTTAGCTGATTTAAGACCTAAGTCCCAACAACATTTTGATCTTCAGGCGGTGAGGACTGCTATTTACGATTGTGGAGTATCAAGTCTGGTAAGATGCTATTCGAGGAGAAAATTTCCAATTCTATTCCAACAACAATTTGCTCTTCCTTTTGCTTTGCCCAGCGGGGTTATACAGTAATTTGACTTGTTATTGTACACTCTGTTTATAAAAATACCAACAGGAAGCGTGGACCATAACTGTGGGGCATGGCTTGGATCAGAAGAAGGGCTATTCCACATGAAGTGGCCCTGAGTTGGAGGCGTGGATTTTTGTGAGTGAGACTTGACGCTTTGAACTCGCCAGGGTGGATTCTTTATGGTTTCTGGTGGTGCAATGCCTAGAGGCCAGCTTTGATGATAGTAGTTTTGGGGGTAGAGGGGGAGAGGGTTTGTAATTGTGTATTGTAGAGGGGGAGAGGGTATGCAATGGGATAAGGATTTGCTTCTTGAAACTTCTTGTGAACATAGGATGAGGGAAAGGTGATAAAATAAAAACCGTAGTTAAATAGAGGTTATGCATTCAAGTCAAAAGGATAAGGGTATGTCCAAACTTTCTACTGAAGAGAATTATAAAATAATATCAACACTACAGATATACCAATGATAATTGGAAAGGCTGTGACCAAGTACAGTGCCCCATAACCCTGCAAACACAAATGGTAGACTGTAAATTATATACGTGTTATAAAATGTAAGATGAAAATCAACTGTCAAAGATTTCAGACAATTTCACTTTTAGCTCTTAAACACACATGGACCCTGAACAAAAGTGAAAGAATAGAAATGGTTTTGAAGAGAATTGAATGTAAAAAATCAATGATAAATGAAGCATTTTATAAGCCCCAATAAGGGCTGGCAACACATTTTCATGATTTGATATATTTTTGATGGAGAGTTGCAACTTTGGGAGTGGAAGATTTGATGGAGAGTTGCAACTTTGGGAGTGGAAGAGCATGCCCAACATATTCTCTTTTTTTTTTTTTTGAATTTCCAGGTGAGTGATTCGAATATGCCCCAATATATGACATTCTTAGCATTTATCAGAATCCTCATTGCAAATAGCTAATCTTTCAGAACAAAATTGATGCAGAAACTGATAACAAATTTACTAGTAAAGAAACTAGTTGTTGGAATCTTAATAAACTGGGATAAGAAAACAAACCACTGCAGGGGGGACTTCTGTTTCATCACTAGTTTCAACATCTTCAATTTCAGCAGCAGAATCCCAATCGATATTTAGCCTCTTAGCAGCTTCTCTAGGATTAACACCAGTGTCTGTCGCCCTTGCATAGAGGGATTTGCTACGTTTCTGCTTCGGTGCTTCCACCTGCTTATTAAAGACATCAAGCATTCTTGAATTACCATCTAAAAATGAATACTCCTTGATCAATTGTTTATATAGCAATAATGGGAATAATATAAGTAACCTCATTGGGATTAATCACCTATGTAGAAGCTGGGGAAAATACACAAAGCAAAGTAATGGAAGTTGAACTCGGAAGAAGCTTAGGATGATGACACAACTATAGAGTTGATGGAAGTTGAAGACATGGGAATGGGGGACGAGTAGCATTACAGTTTTTGGATCATTTAAAGTGTTCACTTATTTTCCTTTCGGTGGAAGCAAAGTTACATTTTTGAAATTCAAGCTTTCTACATCCATGAGAGATTCTACAAAGTGGGTAGATGACAAGCAGATTCCATGTATATGTTAGGCCAAAGACAAGCAAAGCTAACTTTCAAAATTCATAATAACTCAAATACACAATACAAGCAGACAAACAAGTTTACAAATGTGTCATCGATGTTGATCGTAGTTTAACTAGCTTTGACCAAGGTCAAGTAATTCCATTCACATGTGACTACGTGGGTAGCTAGCTTCCTAGAATGAGTTAAAATGATTCACAAAGAGAGAACATATTCACTGGGAAAGATATGTGACTCAGAAACTAAAATACTCACAGAAAAGGACTAAACCTACAAGACTTCAATAGCTATTCAGTCTACTAGTCATCCGAAATTCATCATGAAAAGAATTCCTCCATTGGTTTCTAAAGTTTCTCATTTTTCTGATATGGAAGGAATTACTTCAAACTACTACCTGTAACCATCTTCCCTAAACGTCTACAAGTCACTTGAATTCTCATCATGATATGAATTTTCTCCATCGGTTTCTAAAGTTTCCCCTTTTACTGATATGGAAAAGGGAACTACTTCAAACTACTACCTCTAATCATCTTCTCGAAAAGTTAATGCGCCGGATATACATAAAGGAATTACCAAATCCATGTTGCTTAGAAGCTACATGATGAGCCATATGTACAACGGTGAAAAAAAATCACTTGTCAACGGATAGGGAAATTTGGAGATGGCTAAAAGAACAGGTACAGATGAAAACAAATAGGTTAACAAAAGGAAGCAAACCTAGTGAACGTAATCCTCAGCTAGAAGCAGAAACTAAAGAGTAAGGGCATAGTCTAAACTAAACAAAAACATACTTCTACATTGGGCCAGTTGGTCATTTCCTCAGCTAGCATCTTGAGAGCAACACGATTTGTGGGGATCTTCCCTTCATTGACCTGGTAAAACAGAAACAAACGGCACATATACAAATTGAAGGTACGCAGGGCCATACTATTAAATCGTAGCCACAATGTGATTCGTAACGATTTTTAAGGTTATAGTGACAATGAAATTGTAATTACAATTTAGAAACCTAGTTATTTTTAAGAAAAAGTTCACGTCGACCGCGATCTCAATTTATTATTATGAGGGAGGCAGGGAAAGAGTGTTCACTTGTTCCAGAGCCTCCACAAGATCATCTCTGGTAGGGGCATCGGGATCTTCAATGCCGAGCAATCTCCTTCTCTCAACTTCCCTAGGGTCCTCGATCATCACAGTAAGTTTAACCTGCATATACAAAACATAAGTAAAACAGAAGGAAAGAAACAAACAAATCATTAAACTACTACCACTACTAGTAGCTGTAGCATTACATACCTCATTGAATAACATGTCTCGGTTCTTTCTGAGCAGTTCTAAAACCTAATAGTAAACAATAAGCAGATTCCATTAACGGGGTGTAGTGGGCTGCTACAAGTATATTCGCTGCTAATAATGGAAACCGTTACGGATCTTAATCGAAGTAAAGGAATGCTCTTACTCTTTGAACTTGGCGAACTCTTTGGAAGTCCACATCATCTTCTGGTTGGCCATCACCATCTTCATCTTCATCAATTTGCACTTGTCGTGTGCCTTCCTCACCCTTACCTACACCAGCAACGAGCAGAACTCCACCACCGATCCTCCGCCTCCGGAGACTCGTCAAACTGTAGACTTTGTTCAACCTGAGATTCACTGACAATGATTTACATGTGGATAGGGTTTTAGGTGCAGGAGGAGATGAGATTGAAGATGAAGAAGATGCCAATGGCATTTGGAACGCTTGCAAAGTCCCCATTTATCACTGCCAGTCGTTAATTTTCTAGCCTCAAAATTGGCTCCGATAAGGCTGGTTATGGGTCGGAACGCAATAAAAAAAAACTAATAAAATCGTAATATTTCCTAAATATTTAAGAAATAATTGTATCATATTGAATCTGAATTTTTTATTTTAAACTTGGGATTTACAGGAAATGTTACTGTGCAAGTTAAAATCATATAGTTTAGATGAATTTGTTCAAATAATATATTTTTATTTAAATTCGTAACGAATTTTAATAAAATATATATTTTTAATTATATTTTATTTTATCGAAATAATAAATTTCAATAAAAACATATTGTAACGAGTTTTAAATCATTATAGAAAATATCGTAATTTTCAAAATAAAATATCTTGTTTCACCGAAATAATAAATTTCAATAAAAAATATATTATAACGAGTTTCAAATCATTAAAATAAATATCTTAATTTTCAAAATAAAATATATGATGTCGCCTATAATATTGGGGCAAAATTACCCGCAATCTGTTGAAAAGCCCAGAAAGAACTATAGGTTAATTGAAAAGCCCATAAGGGCGGTTAGGCGGGAAAAACATAGGTCCCACAGAAACTTCCCGCCAAGGGGAAGGGACTTAAGTTGTCGTCGTTGTTCTTCTTGTTGTAGCCCAGTTCCAGGTTCAGGGAAATCAAGAAAAGGAAGGGTTTTCGATTCGTGTTCGTTGAAGAAAATGGAGGCGTTCAGTGGATGCTATGTAGACGAGAAGGCGATTAGAGTGGAGAACATTTTCCTGGATTTCCTCAAGAGGTTTGATTTTGGTTGCATTTACCGTTGTTATTCATCATTTGTGATTCAATCTCATTTCTTTTGAAATAAGAACAGTTTCAGGTTGGATCCGCGAATGGCGGAGTCGCATTACGAGGCGGAGATACAGGCGATGGAAGCGAACGGGTCTAGCACCATGTACATCGATTTCTCGCACGTCATGCTCTACAATGACGTTCTCCAGAAGGCAATCGCTGATGAGTATTTGAGGTAAGCTGCTCAAGTTATTATGATTTTAGAAATTGAGATTCAATCTTGACTGCTACTACTGCTGCAGATTCGAGCCGTACTTGAAGAATGCGTGCAAGAGGTTCGTGATGGAGCAGAAGCCTACGCTTATTGCGGAGGCAGATGATAACCCAAACAAGGACATCAATGTCGCCTTCTTTAATATTCCCTTCACCAAGCGGTACTCCTTTTCATCTCATTTACTCCTAGTATAGCATCAGTCTAGATTTATTGCTGCAGATCAAGTAATACAACAGCATATATGTTTTTTGTTGTTGCATCTTTTCAGCTTGAGAGAATTAACCACTGCCGAAATTGGGAAGCTAGTATCAGTCACGGGAGTAGTCACACGAACGAGCGAAGTCAGACCCGAGCTTCTCCAAGGAACATTCAAGTGTTTGGACTGCGGAAGTGTTGTCAAGAATATCGAACAGCAATTCAAGTACACTGAGGTCTGCCGTCTTTCTCATCTATATTCATTTTATACTCTTAAATTGTTGGGTTTTACATTGTTTTCCTACAATTCCTTATTGTCGATACAGCCAACAACATGTGTGAGTGCAACATGTTTAAATAGAACAAGATGGGCATTGCTTCGACAAGACAGCAAGTTTACAGATTGGCAGAGGGTAAGAATGCAGGAGACTTCTAAGGAAATTCCTGCTGGCTCCTTACCTAGATCATTGGATGTTATTCTTCGCCATGAGATTGTGGAATTGGCTAGAGCAGGCGATGCGTAAGATTACATCCAACGCTAATCTTGTTCCTTGTTTTGCTTTTTTGTTCCTCTTTTTCTTTGTTTCCCCTATTTTCTTTAATTTGAATTTTGTATATGGTGATAGTGTCTTGTTCACTGGTACGGTGGTTGTGATACCGGACATATTGGCACTGGCTTCTCCTGGTGAAAGAGCAGAATGCCGCCGAGAAGCTTCTCAGCGCAAGAGTTCAACTGCTGGACAAGAAGGTGTGAGAGGTCTTCGTGCATTGGGAGTCAGAGACTTATCTTATCGTTTAGCCTTCATTGCTAATTCAGTTCAGGTCTGTCATTAATTGGCCTATTGTGACTATTTGCTTTAATGGCTTATTGCAGTGTCCTTCACCGGTTACTGACAAAGATTCTTCTTCAGGTTATTGACGGTAGAAAGGATGTTGACATCAGAAATAGGAAAAAGGCCGGTGATGAAGATGACCAACAGTTCACAGTTAGTTCTTACTGCACCTTGCATCAGAAATAGCATGTTGCTTAATCTTTCTGTTTTCTGTGCATGCCAACTAAGTAATTGATCTACTGAAAGGCACTGTTGACTTGCATATTTAAATCGATGATCTCTTTTTCATGACTATTTCTTGTGTTTTGCATGTTTGCATGACTCGTCAATTGCTCTAGATGTTAGTTTAGTTTTAATACTAGGCTTTATGTCATAAAAGAACTAAGTATCCGATAACTTTTTATTCCATTTCTTTTATCCAACTTGTAGTCGGAGGAGCTTACAGAGATTCAACGAATGAGAGATACTCCTGATTTCTTCAATAAGCTTGTTGATAGCATTGCACCAACAGTTTTTGGTCACCAAGATATCAAGCGAGCAATCTTGCTCATGCTTTTGGGTGGCGTCCACAAGCTTACTCATGAAGGCATCAATCTCAGAGGAGACATAAATGTGTGTATAGTTGGGGATCCCAGCTGTGCAAAGTCCCAGTTTCTCAAGTAAGTATTTTACCATACTATTTTACCACGCAGACATTGTGGTTACAGACTTGTAGAACTTAAAACACAGAGGTCTTTATTCTTGCAGATACACATCAGGTATTGTTCCCAGATCGGTCTATACATCTGGCAAATCCTCTTCTGCTGCTGGATTGACAGCGACTGTGGCCAAAGAACCAGAAACTGGTGAATTCTGTATTGAGGTAGTACTCGTATTTTGTTTATCTTCTTAATGTTAGGTCTTGTATTTGGCTTTGTTAACCATGAAAATTAGCTATTTGCGCTCTATTAACACTGACAGGTAAATGGAATGTCTTTGATATGATGCTTGAATATACGTGGAAGCAATCATTATTTTTTTTGATAGAAGTTGGAGGTCTCATTAAAATCTCCCTTCGTATTCGTTCACATACTTAGAAGTATGTTAACGAACATTGGAAGGAAGAAAAGTGTACCTCATATTTTATTAATAATAATACCCAATACAAAAGACAACACAAAAAATCCTCCTATGGTGATATACACCATTACAACAAACACCTTAAACTCTTAAATCCTCATCCAAAGCCAAAGTCAAATCACCTTAAATCTAAATGCACCTCCCTCAATGGATCAAAAACAACGCAAAAGAACATAATACAAAAGAAAAGCAAACACCTTCAACCATATAAACTAAATCAAAGCCACAAATAGAGAGACGAGATCTAATGAGAATCGTCATCTTCAGGAGCCCAAGAGTTTGGTTTGAATGAAGGCTCTATCGCATGCACCATAATCTTGAAGGAGTTGTCACCAACCTTCAATTCCATCGTTGCATCAATTCTTGCCTCAGCCTTTGCGAGGACTTGAATTTTTGCACGATCAAAGAATGATGGTGACTGACAACTTTCGTCGATTGCTAGTAAATGGCAAGGATCAATTTGGATATATAACATAAATTGCACAATAAAACCCATAAAAGTACAATTTCTTTTATGACAATCAGGTTTTATGGTTTTTATTGGATCTTCACTTTGTTGTAAATTTGGAATACCTATGTAATATAATTTATTTCAATTTTAAATATTTTCTCAAACGTGAGTATGCTGAACCATTTCCTATTTTTCATCATGTTTGCTTCCCCTGTTCACATTTTATATGAAAACAAAATTCCAAATTCACTCTCCTGATTACATGTTCCTAAACACTGCAAATTAAGAGTTCCTGGTTTTTGTGTCCTTCCTCACATTTTTTTTCATTATGGTGCAGCCTAATCTAACGACTATGATTATTAAATTAGAGATCTGACTTGCAAATTGTAAATTTACAGAAGCTACGTTTATTCTCACCTGCTAACCCAGTTGTCAATTAATCAATCTTGCCAGAAAGAAAGCAGATTAATCGAATCCCTGCTTTTAAGTCTGAAAAATTATATCTGATCTATTTCCAGGCAGGTGCTCTAATGCTGGCAGACAATGGCATATGTTGCATTGATGAATTTGACAAGATGGATGTCAGAGATCAGGTAAGGTTCATATTGTGTTACCAGAGACCAGTTTGTACATTCAGAATCATTGGTGTCTGATAATCAATTTTGTATGAAGGTTGCAATTCATGAAGCCATGGAACAACAGACCATAAGCATTACTAAAGCCGGAATACAGGCAACACTAAATGCCCGGACATCAATTCTAGCTGCAGCTAATCCTACTGGAGGGCGCTATGATAAGTCTAAACCACTCAAGGTATTAAGGCTGATTCCAATTGGCCCCAATTTTTAGTATTTGATGCTGATTAAGTTTTGGTATAATCGCCTGTAAACTGATGGCTTCGTTATGTTTCTTTCTCTTCAGTATAATGTTGCTCTCCCTCCAGCTATCCTTTCTAGGTTTGATCTGGTATATGTCATGATTGATGATCCGGATGATCAAACTGATTACCATATTGCTCATCATATTGTGAGAGTTCACCAGAAGCGTGAAGAAGCACTTCATCCTGCTTTCACCACTGCACAACTGAAACGATATATTACATATGCAAAAACTTTAAAACCAAAGGTTTCTGCCATAACGTTTCACTGCTTAGGATATGATTACTTTCCATTGCATTGGCATGGCTAAATGGTGTTAGTGAAATGCAGCTAACCTCTGAAGCAAGAAAACTCTTGGTTGAGTCTTATGTTGCGCTCAGACGAGGTGATACAACTCCTGGAAGCAGAGTTGCATACCGTATGACAGTTAGGCAGTTGGAGGCCTTAGTCAGGTTGTCTGAGGCCATTGCTCGGAGTTATTTGGAAACTCAGGTTCTTTATCTACCACAGAACATATTATTTCATTATCGTGCACCCTGGAGTTAGAGAACTGTTCTTTTGCAGGTGCACCCGCGGCATGTTCGTGTAGCCGTGAGATTACTGAAAACATCTATAATTAGGCAAGTCTAATAACATGACCATTGTAGAACCATGAATCCCCTTCCATCCTTCCCTTCTCCTTTTTTAGTTTTTTGTGATAATTTCTTCTTAATCATGCAGTGTGGAGTCCACCGAGATTGATTTGTCAGAATTTCAAGAAGTAAACACTAATGGTTCTGATGATAGAACCAATAATTCTGGTGAAGGTGATACTCAACCAGCTTCTGAAAGCGCCGGTAGGACTATGCAAGCTGTGTTATTTGTGTCTATTTCTTCTGATATATACTTGGTTTGCGGTTTTATAATGAACTATTATTTTTCTGAAAAAGTAGATACTACCAATCAACAAAAGGAGGAATTCATGGTAAAGGAGGATTATTTTCAGAGGGTTACTCAGGCCCTTGTCATGCGCCTTAGGCAGCATGAAGAAGCTGTAAGGCAACAAGGTAAACCTTAACTGTCTTCATAATCAGCAGCATAGATTTCTAGCTGGAACATGGGAATGAATATTTGTGCTCAAGTGTTCTTATTCAACTTAACCTAAAATGAGGCAATTTTACGTTGTGCAGAGAGTGGCATGGCTGGAATGAGTCAAGGAGATTTAATCCAGTGGTATGTGAATCAGCAGAATGAAAAAAACAACTACAGCTCAACTGCAGAAGTAGAAACAGAAATTAAACGAATTAGATCACTTATTGAGGTAAAGCAACTAGGCTCCATTTTTGTATATATACAAAAATACTTTTTTGGATATTTTGTATCTCCACCAAGGGTGGTGATTATTTTTATGTATGAGGTAACTAATATCGTGGGGTGATGCAGAGATTGATTAAGAGGGAAGGGCACTTGATTGTGATAGATGATGGCAGGCAAGAAGCGGGTGAAGGTGCAGCAGCAGCACGATCAGCTAGAGATAGCAGGATTTTAGCTGTAGCTCCCAATTATGCCATGGATTAATGGGACTGAAATCTCTTCACAAGAATGAATTATGGGCTCTGCTTGCATGTTTGGAAGATGGGTATGTGGACTAAAAAATGTGAATGTAGTGTAGGGCTTTCTTTGCTTCACCGAGTGTCTGGTTGGTTGTATTTTACATTAAATTCTGTATTATATCGGTGTTTAGGTAGGCGTTTTTCTGGCTTGATTTGAGAATATCTTACATTAAATTATCAAAGACTTGCTTTCTGGTTCATCCGCTTGCATGCGTCTCGCATTTTGATTTTAAATATATTTAATATATAATATATGTTGCTTATCCTTTTTAGATATAACAATAATTCTTTAATTACTAAAATCAATTGGTTTGGGTTATGGTAGTATCATATACTAATGATGATTCAAAGCATTATATGTTATTGATTTGGCTCTGAATTAGATTTGAATAAAAAGGATAAGTGACATATTATATGTTTAATAATCTCAATTGGCATGCGTTTCCAAGTACAAACTAACATGGCCACTTGGAAACAAAGGCATCAACCATAAAAACAAAAGGTGTAAGCCTGGCCTGGCCTGGCCTTGCATTGCGTATAACGTAAATAGAGACAAAAGGTCATTGCATGTGAAAAGTGTTAGGGTGCTTGGCCTGAGCGAGCATCTGAACAACTTCTCTCATGGTGGGTCGCTCCACGCCGTGCTCCTCCACGCACAACATGGCCACAAAGAAAACCTGCATGGCTTCCTCCTCCGGCACCATATCCCTAACTCTCTGGTCCAATATCTTCACCACCCCTTCCTTGTTCATCTTAGCCTCCCTCTTGCTCCACTGCACGATGTCCGGCCCTTCTTCTCCGAACTCACCCACCGGCCTCCGCCCCGTTGTCAGCTCCAAAAGCACCACTCCGAAGCTATACACGTCGCTCTTCTCGTCCACTTTTAGAGTGTATGCGTACTCTGTCATGATCAAAGTTAAACACCACGATCTATACAATTGGTTCTTTTATTTAATTTTTTATCTGTTATTTCTGCATACATTGACGTGGATACAGTGAAAAAGAAATAAAGCTTAGCTCTCTTCCCCAAGCAAAGTGAATATATCTACTGGAGAGGTAGAAGAAAAAGTGAGTGGAGTTGCACTTTTATGTGTGTCATGTGAGTTAATATTATAATATATTTTTATGAATTCGTCCACGAATCCAATGAAAAGTAATTTTTTTAAATTCAATAATAAATTAAAAAAAAACTTTGAAACTTGTCACGTAGTTAAAGATCCAATACCTTTCTTTGAACAAGTTTGTCGGTGACCTGGCTATGCGCCTCTGCCCATACATATTTATAATCCATACTGCATTAATGCGACCATGATACAATAATTGTAATTTGGCATAAAGCCGAAAGAAAAATCAACCTAACATCTTTGGCCCCATTTTATTATTCATTTGATATTCAATATTTTACTTTGCAATAAACTAATTTATGGTTAAATAAAAATTATTAATTTATTAACGATTAATATTTGTTATTGATATAATAAGTCGTATGTATTAAAAAAATACGTGGTTGTACATGTCACATATACATAAGTGATAATGTGATACATATCACATGTTCAGAGTGATGATTTGACCTATACCACATATCAAAATAATAATGTGGTATATACCATATCTAAAGTGATAAAGTAGCACATATAACGTATCTAAATTAATATTGTGCTATATTTTATGTGTCTAAAATAATGACATAACATATATTTCATGTCTAAATTCATGATATGATACTGTCGCATATACATAAATAATGATGCGATAAGTTTTATATATTCAAAGTGATATATACATTAACAACACAACATATTTTAAACGTCTAAAGTAAAAATATAACACTATTATATGGCTATAAGTAATAAAATAACATTATTATGTGTACATAAATGATAATATGATATATACCACACGTTTAGAGTTATAATATGACATTATTACATCATTATTTATGTATACATAACAACCTCAAATTCACATTTTGGACACATACAATTTATCTCATCAATAATTATTTTATTTTAAAATGAAACATTAAATATTAAAGTATTTAAAAATATTTTTTTATCAAATTGGATTTTTAATATCATACCTAATAATTTTACTTCGAACTAGAGAATTTATATTTAAAAGAAAGAATTTGGAGATGGAGGATGACGAACCATAGATTTATAGGTAAACTACGCATTTAATATTTAAATTATCAAATCTATTTTATCACTTAAATTTTTAATTTTTTTTTAAAATCATACTTAACGTTTAGTTTTCATCTCATTTAATATCCATTGTTAAAAACTTAACAAAAACTAAAGTTTTTAACAGTGTGATACTAAAATGAAAAAAAAAAACTAAATTTTAGTTATGGTTTTGAAAAATTGACAACTTAAATACTAAAACGAATCAAAACTAATAGTTCAGGTACTAAAATGCAATATTTACCCTAGATTTACTACGGCCCCAGAGAGTTAACGACTCTATGTTGACGTGGCTTGGTTCCGAATCTAAATCAAGACAGAACACCTGATCGATTCATTACTGCTTTGTTTGATAAGGAAAATGCAAGTAATTTGCAATGGCGGAGAGGGCATAACGGGGATTTCATATATTTAGATGCTACAGTGCTTCTGTCTGTTAATCTGTCATTTGTCTTTGCCTCCCCCCCGGGTTCTCCTTCTCTATTACATTCGCAGGCTAAATAAAATCAACAGAGGGATCTCATCTTGCAAAGTGAAGGAAAACCTAAACAACTTGTTTTGTTTGGTAACAAAAGAAAATGGGGGAGTCGACGGTGGCGATGGGAATAGACAACGACGCCGGTGCTGCACCCAACGCACCTCCTCAGCAATTGATGGAGAGGCTCAAAGATTACGGCCAGGAACACGTTTTCGCGCTCTGGGACGAGCTCTCCCCTCAAGAACGCCACCTCCTCCTGAACGATATCCAGGTCACAGTCCAATTATTCAATTTCGATTATAAAATCTTGATTGAAAATTTTCAATTCCAAACAAGTTCCACTTAAAAGCATGCATCTCAACTTTGTTCTTACATAAGGAGTAATTCGATTTTGTTTCCGTTCTTCAGAGTTTGGATCTTTCCAGAATAGATCGGATCATTCGATGCTCGCTGCGATCCCATGGTACGTATATACACGTACAGAAATCTTTACTTCCTCTCTATTTTGGTTTATTCTTCAATATGATTTTGTCTTTTTGATGGCTTTTAGGACTGTCGGTGGCAGCAATAGAGCCAGTTCCGGAGAGCTGCGTGTCATCGGTGGAGGAGAGAACGATGGAGGAGCGGGAAAGGTGGTGGAAGATGGGATTGAAGGCTATCTCGGAAGGCAAATTGGCTGTTTTGCTCCTATCTGGTGGACAGGTATTGATTCCTATTTGATTTATATTCCCTGCATCACCTGGTAACTTACAGGAAGGGTAATGGAGAGAATGGGAAAAAAAAATGGGGAGTGAAAGCTATTTACTTAATTGTATTGAGCATGAGGGATACTAGTGCAATGATTGTTTTCCTGTCACATTTCTAATGATTGGGTTTTGAGGAAAAGGAAAGGTGCAAATACATGTACACTATTTTTCTCTTCCCAAAAGGTAAGGATGGAAAGAAGGTAATTTTTCTTTGCACCTTCTTTCCCATCTACCTAATACAAAGTGTTATTGTTAGGGGTTCTTGGTTGATGAGGTTTTCTACCTCTGACCATAATTGTGGAATGATGTTGCCTTGGAGTGGTTTGACATTTTTGTCACCAATGTGTTCTTTTTTAATGCAAAAAGCAGAACCCATAAAGATTTAAGTGGATAATCACTAATGGTTGGTATGATGTTGCTTTATTGAATGTCTGGTAATGATATCAGTGATAACACGTCTTAACTTACAAAGTGGATGCTTCAATCTGTTTCTACAATAATTGTTTGTTTCGTTAAAACATGGCTTTACAGGATTTTCTACTTTTCCATTACTGAAAAGAATCTAATTGGCCATGTTTACCTAACCCTTTTCCAGCTTTTGTTTTATCTTTGTATGATTGATTGAAATGTATTACAGGGTACTCGGCTCGGAAGTTCAGATCCGAAGGGATGTTTCAGTAAGTACCTTTTCCACATTGCTGACATGATTTTGAAAATCTTATGCTACATTCAAGTTTCTTTGGATGATGGTCGTCAAGCTATTTTGTGCTCTGAACGGGAAATGTTCAGGGATTGAATGTCCTTTCTCAAAATTAACGGAGTTGTCACATGTTTAATCCTTTTCTGTCCTCACTCTTCTTGGTTGCAGAACCCTCTGAGTTATAAAATTACTGTATAATTCTGAGCCATAGATGGATGGTAAGGTTCTGGTAAAGTGCATTAATCAGAAAGATTTAGAAGGAAACATGTTCTCGATAAATAGAAAGCAATTGAGGAGGGAAAAATTTAACTAATGAACTTCTTGGATAGTAAATGATATCAGAAACGTTTTATTAAATATTTAAATCTGATTAGCTTTTTATTATATTTTCTTTAATAAAGTCTGCGTATATCTTTAGTTTCTTTGTTTAGGAAAGCCTAGCTCTGTAAATGAGCAAAGCATTTAATGAATATAAATGATCATCTATAAGCTTGTTTATGAATTGTTTAAAAATTGTTTAAGAAGTCATTTGAAACTTTCCTATTGTTCAATTATAGTGCAAATAATATTTTATTATTTGTGTTTTATTTTATCCATGTATAGTATAATTATTAGTATTTATGTTATTTTTTATTTTGTATACAAAAATAATTAACATTTTTGTTTGCTTGCTTGCTTAAATTTTTGTTTGTTTATTATCAAATTTCCGTGTTGTAAATCATAGTTGGTCATGTGTTCATGAATATGTTAGTTTAATGTTTTTAAACAAGTTCATTCAATTAAAGGAAAAGAACTCAAACAAAACTTTGGCCAAACAAACAAAGTACAATTTTGAAATTTTAAACAAACACAAACTCAAAGATAAACATACAAACAGAACTGAGGTGTATTCGTTATGCCAAGTTCATATAAAGCCCTAAAAAAGTATGTATGTTTTTACTTCAAATTTATTGTTTATAGTTTTTTTGTTTTTCATTTTAGACATTGGACTACCTTCTGGGAAGTCACTTTTTCAACTCCAGGCTGAGCGGATTTTGTGTGTTCAAAGGCTAGCTACACACGCTATGAATGAGGGTAAACTTCTTATCTACTACTATGATTCTATCTGTTTGTTGGTTATATCGATGATTAGGTATCTGCAGGTTCAGCTGGTTCGGTGGCAATAAACTGGTATATAATGACTAGCCCGTTTACTGATGATGCAACACGCAAATTCTTTGAGAGTCATAAATATTTTGGTCTTGAAGCAGATCAAGTAAGATGTTTCTGATTATCTGATTTCCTTATGTTCTATCCTTGTTAATTTTGCTGACTTTTAAGTCTGAACATTGTGCAGGTTACTTTTTTCCAGCAAGGCACCATACCTTGTATCTCAAAGGATGGTCGATATATAATGGACACTCCATACAAGGTACGGTTTCTTTCATTGAATGTGTGAGTAAATAAGGAAAAAAGCTCTGGTTAAAAGGTCAGCTGAATATATTTGCCCGGAAGTTTCAGAAAACTTTTTCAAGAACACTTCTTAAATTTCAAACTCCAACAACAATGGAGAACTGGCCCTTTGGGTCACATGTTACTATTATAATATTGCAACTGAACTATAAGGTTGAGAATTCTCGTAAAGTAATGCTGATTTCTAAAATGATGTAAACTTACCTGCCTGTAAGTTTTAGGATGGAAAAGTTACTTCTGATTCTGTTGCATAAAGCAACAGCATTCCTGCTACACTATTCTCATAGAAGCATTAATACTTGAAGGATGTTCGTTTGGCTGGCAATAATATTCTTTTATTTCACAATATGCTTCTTGTTCTAAGTAGCAAACTGTTTCAATTGTGGTGGTCACATGAGTGCCTTTTTTCTAAGCCAGGTAGCTAAGGCTCCAGACGGGAATGGAGGAGTATATTCAGGTATTTTGAAAATAATGTACAAATAGGTGGTGTTTTGTTGATGAATCGGGTAAAGAAAAACTAAAGAACACAAGAATTTTAACGAGGTTCAGCAATGTGCTTACGTCCTCGGTGCCTAGGCGGCGCTAGAAGTTTTATTCAATATCACTTAGGTTTAGGTAACATCTCTATTTAAAATAGAAAAACGTGGTACATAATTACAAAATTAGCCTTTGTCCTCTTTACCGGTATATTTATGAGCCATACCTAACATGTTTGATATTCAACTAGCTACTAAAGTCTCCTGTTTTATTCTTTTATATCATATATGAATATTGGATTCCTAATTTTTTGTTCAGCTCTGAAATCTTCGAGATTGCTAGAGGATATGGCCTCAAGAGGGATTAAATATGTTGATTGTTATGGTGTTGACAATGCATTGGTGAGCTTGTCTTTGTTTTGTTAAAATTTTCCTTGATATTTTTTATTTGAAGGGACAGTGATAAGGTTCTCGAGTGCAGGTCCGTGTGGCTGATCCAACTTTCCTGGGATATTTCATTGATAAAGGTGTAGCTGCCGCTGCTAAAGTTGTCCGAAAGGTAACTAATTTCCTCGATGTTCATGTCTATCTGTGAATTTCTGTTGCACCAGTCTCTTATTCTTTTCCCTCCTCTTTTTTTATATATATTTATATTTGTGAAAGGTAAGCTGTATTGCAACAGTTGAAAGCATATTTGTATCTCTCCTGTTTTCTAAAGTATGTGTTAAATACTTGAGTTCTGATACCTACTTGAACTTTCTTTGGGTCTTGCAAACTGTTGAAATCTAAGAGAATAAGATTGAGAGAGAAGGAAATAATAAAGAGTTATGCAAGAACAGAAAATCTGATAATTGAAGTAGGAGACTACAAGAGTTTAAATGGATTGAATTGTCTACTTCTAACAGTACTTTTCTAATAAATATAAACTTCTATCTTGATTATGAATACTCCAAATCCTTCTTATCCTAAAAGACTTCTAAACACAATAGGATTACTACTACCACACGGATGTTTCTGACACAAACAAAGACGAGGGGAAAAAGCCAAGAGAACAGAAAACAAGGGAGAGGTGTCCATCTGATTTGCATTTGATAGTATTTCATTGCTAGCAAATTATAAGCATGAGGCTGATGTTGAAAGTTCCATTTATTGAGCTCTGCTTTCTCTTTTAAATTTGTAGGAATTGGTATGCTTTCCATGTATTTATTTTTTAGTAACACGTGTTGCATACTTGCATTTCTCTGTTGTAATATATGTCACTCCTCGTGTCATGTAAATTAAGAATGCTGATTCCATGATGGCATGCCAATGCTTGATATTTGTGTTGTGTAAGCTTGTGAAATTTTATAATACTGTAAACTTCTATATTTTTAAGGTTTTATGATGTCTTAGTTTCTAGTAATTGGTTACAGGCTTATCCCCAGGAAAAGGTTGGTGTTTTTGTAAGGCGAGGTAAAGGTGGACCACTCACTGTAGTTGAATACTCTGAATTAGATCAATCATTGGCTTCTGCAGTTAATCAGCAAACTGGACGCCTTCGTTTTTGCTGGAGTAATGTATAGTAATCTTCACCTGTGTTAATGAAATGTTGCTTCCTTTGAACAAAATCTAGGGCTTTTTTATTCAAATCTGCTATATCTTTTGGCTATTCTGAGGCTTTTATACGTGAGATTGTAGGCAGTTTAGTTTTTGAAACCATTCAAGAAAAAAAAACGAAGGTAGTAGAAACAGTTTGTGAATTCATGTAATTTGCTGTGCACTTCTTTGCTTTCAAACTTGAACGACTTTGGTTTACTGTTTATTTCTTCCATTTAGATGTAGATTTTTAGAAATTTGTTAACCACTGCTAAAGAGATAAATGCTTTGCGATATTCAAATTTCTGAGAACAAGTTTGTTCTTTGATGGTTTCAGTTAGGATGTCACGATATCAGAGAAGTGTGATATAAGCGTCTAGAATATGTTATTCACTTGCAATAATGTGTCAAATATTTTGCTTGTGTGTGATTATATGCCTTGTGCTAATAACTTTCTGTTTTTCAGGTGTGCTTACACATGTTCACTTTGGATTTTCTAAACCAAGTGGCAAATGGCCTTGAGAAAGACAGCATGTTAGTGTCTTATTCTTGACCTTCAGAATACATATTTTGATTTGATATGCCCTGGGCATTGATTTTTCAACTAATGTTGTTTAATTAATAAGAACCTGTTAAAAATGCTGATCGTGTGCTGCATGATTGATGCATTTCCTCTCTTTACCCCTTTCGTTGAACTGAAAACAAACCCGATAGTGAAGTGCCTTCTGTTTCCTGCAAACTATCCTTTCAACCTGAAAGATATAATTCTGTACATAAATTTTTGCTGAAATGATGGGTTTCCCCAGTATCATTGAGAATAAAAGAAGCTGAGCTCATCATAGGATTCTTATATTTCTTGTTGCCTCTATAGATCGATTTATAATTGCTTGTTAGTGGTTTCCTATTTAACCCTTAAAAGGATGTTAATATCTATATTTGTCTTGACTACAGCTATCATCTGGCAGAGAAAAAAATTCAATCTATTCATGGTTATACAATGGGTTTGAAACTAGAGCAGTTCATATTTGATGCGTTTCCCTACGCTCCTTCAACGGCTTTGTTTGAGGTGATACTTCACCGTTTTCTTGCATCAATTAATGCTTTTTTCGGATGGGGTGGTTCTTTAGTGATCTTTTTCCCCCCCTTCATCTAACTCTTTATGTTTCTAAATATGTAGGTATTACGTGAGGAAGAGTTTGCACCAGTGAAAAATGCGAATGGTTCGAACTATGACACTCCAGACAGTGCAAGGCTCCTTGTTCTGCGACTGCATGCTCGTTGGGTAGTTGCTGCGGGCGGCTTCTTAACTCATTCGGTGCCATTATACTCCACTGGTAATTTCATGTTTGACTTTGCATAGGGAGCTCTGTGAACGTTAATATTTTATTGTCGGTTTTGGAGCTCTAGTGGCTCATGTGGTGTGCCATACTTTTCCGGCTAATCAGTGACAGGATTTGAACATATGAATCCAGGTGTGGAGGTGTCGCCACGTTGTTCTTATGCCGGAGAGAACCTAGAGTCGATATGCCGGGGAAGAACTTTTCATGCACCTTGTGAAATTACATTTTAGTTAAGACTTGTATCATCGTCATCCACATATTCTTGATTTAGTTGAAAATATAAGCTCCATTGCATTTGTATGGCGAATTGGCAACTTGCATGGATGTGTTTAGATGAACTATAGATTTTGCAGTATTTCGATTTATGGAAGTGGCGTGCATCAAGTGTTTAGGTGCATTAATTAAATCGGTTGTTGTAATTGGCACGTATTTATGCGTTTAGTACGGAAGTTATTAGTTTTTATTCATTTTAATACTTAAACTTTCAAAATTTTCAAAATCATACCTAAAATTTAGTTTTTGTTTCATTTTAGAATCCATTCAAAATGTAACGTTAAGTTTTGAAAAAATTTTGAAAGTTTAAGTATTAAAACGAGTCAAAACTGATAGTTTAGGTATTAAACATATTAAGTTTTTAATAGTGAGGGTACTAAAATGAGACAAAAATTAAATGTTAGGGTATGATTTTAAAAAATTGAACATTGAGGTATTAAAACAAGTCGAAGTGACAAATTCTAATAAAATTTAATTTTTATTCTATTTTATGTCAAAGTGATGAATTTCAAGAAAAATATTTTTTATTGAAACTCGTCCTGTACATTAAAAATTACACTGTTCTCCTACATATCTCCTAAGAAATGCATATATATATATATATATATATATAGTCGGTCGTTATTCTCTTGTAAAATCCGGCACCCCTTCTTGCCCTCACCCCGTATTTCCTAGAATGTGCACCACCCCTGCCTCCCTACACTTGTTCAGGAATTCTAATTCATCTATGTCTTCCGTCGAAGTCGCTCCCGGATGCACAAACGACGACACCACGGTATCTGTATTTGAGGTCACCAAGTTGTTGTCCTCGCCATCGGACAGACTGTCCCTGTCACCTCTGTTTGCCGCTCGTGCCAACTACATTCATCTGATTCCAAACACCCTTCCGTCATCGACTTGAGCCGCACGAACGAGAAGAGGCTATCGAACAGCTTTTTCTCGAAATCATCATCTTTCCTATGAAGGTCTCTGTAGCCATACCTAGCGACACAACGGAACAGGTGGAAGTTGTTCGGTCCAATCCGCTTCACAAGGAACCTCTCTTCTTCCGGAACCGTGTAGACAGGAAGATACTTGACACACACGAAAACAACGGAATGGATGGCGGGTAGGTTAGTAATGAAGTGGTAAAATATATGGGGTACGCCACTCGATAGCTCGGTGTACACCATTCCCATTTCGGGAACCCGTACTAGTCCGAGAAGCCATGCCATAGACACCTTACCATGCATCTCGAGCTCGTATCGCTTCATCCTTCCATAATGCCAAACATTCATGACTACCAGAAAGACTCCTGCAATAACAAGGGGAATCCACCCACCTAGATCAATCTTGAACAACACAGCCGACATGAATGTGCACTCTACAACCAGGGGCAAGCTAGTGAAGAGGAAGACGAATATCCAAAGGCTGCGCCACACCAATATCATGATTAAAGTCATAAGCAGCGTCGTTACGAACATCACGAACACCACGGCTGTGCCTGCAGCAACATGAAATTCATACATATATTCGAAATGCACCACGAGATCTAGATCAAATAAGCATGAACTTACCATAAGCATTGGCGATTTGGCTTTGGTTCTTGAATCCAGCAATGCAAAGGACCGTGAGGAGCCAATTCATATCCGGAATATATACCTGGCCGTGGAACTTCTTCAACGTATGTACCACCTTCACTCGCGGAAAACAACCATGTGCAAGGGCTTGCTTGATGATCGAAAAAATTGCAGATATGGTGGCCTGAATTGCAACTATGGCAGCAGCAATAGCAATGGCAAAAACAGGCCATATATGCTATCTGCATGATAACGACATCGAACTAAACAACTAAGTACCAAGTGCATTCGATCGAAAAGGTAGAGAAGAGTCAAGGAGACGCTTGCACTTGCATAGATATAGCCACTAACCTGGTATAGAGTGATAAAACGCATGACCGACATCGTCCCTGTTCTGACTGAGGTAGGCAGCTTGTCCAGAATAAGCTAGGAGCAGGCAAGGAAATACAACTCCAGTAAAAGCACAGCTGCAACAGGAAAATAGGCTAGATCTGCAAGAAGAGCTTCGGTACCTGTAACAATTAGTCGGTCATCAACATCATGTCGCCGTTGTCACTGCAATTATACTAACCATAATACTGCCGAGGGAGATCCATCCATCTTTCCGTCTCCTCTTGAAATATCGGCATATGTATACAGGTGAAAACGCTTTCAAAACACTGCTGTCATATGCGCAAATATTATATGTGCCAATGCCTCCAATTACTAGAAACCAGAGGAGCACAATTGGGGCAAAGAGCCAGCTAACTCTATCAGTACCATAGTGTTGCATGCTGCACAAACCGACTAATATCACCACGGCGACACCCGAAACAACAGCTGCAAAAGAAAAACAAAACGAAAACAGACTTTGTAAAGAGATGATCAAACTTACAAGGAAGGGAAGGGAGGTACCATTGCTTATGCTTGGATGCTCTAGATTGATTCCCCCAGATGCTGAAAGAAATGCCAAAGATAGCAGACGTCATTTCAATCCGACCTAATGAAAGCCGGAACATATAAGCAAAATACCTGATATCGCCGGAGTGAGTATTCCTTCACTGATGACACGTACCGATCAGGTCAAGAACTAGAAGAACATGCTTCTTGTACACATCTTTCTCCAACCATCTCTTTGTTTCAGCAGCAAATGATTTCTCATGAAATGTGGAACGACTATATGATCAGGACAAGAACTAGAAGAACATGCTCCTCATCAGTCCTGTGTTGATTAGGTATGACTACAAGCAATGAATATAAAGCAAACGTTCCGCCTGCACGGCAAATCAAAAAAACTCAAGCTATATGGTTCTGCATTAAAACACATTCCGTTCAACAAATCGATGTATCCTCGTTCGTCGACGTTGACTCACCTTGACCGTTGTCGTTCACGTTACACACGATGAAGACGTACTTGATGAGTGCGATAAGCGTTCGCGAGTATATGATCAATGGCAGAGCTCCAACGTCATCCTCTGGATCCTCGATTTTATCAGGAAATGTATTGTAGAAAACATACAAGGGGGAGGTGCCCAAGTCACCGTATACCACTCCAAGACTCTGGAATGCAAGCCGCAGAAGCAATAATGCGGAGGTGTTCTACAGGCAATGAAGTGATGTCAAGAACTAGAACTTTATAACTTCATCCCCTGGCATAAAATATCGAGTTCGTCCCTATCGAAAACTACGACCGATCCGAACCACGAAAGAAGTAAATGTTGTACCTAGAAAAGAAAGACATTGACAGGGAAACAACTGAAGATGGAAGGTTGCAGTTACCTTCTCCATATCCATGTTTCTAAGCTTCCCAGCCTCCTCGTCCATTGGCTTATCAAACTTCTAATCCAGGTCCCACATCCTTCCCTTGTTATCGTCTTCTTCGTCGATCGAAGCCATCCCTACGGTTGCTATCACTAACATGAAATTCCCGATTTCGTCCCTAACCAAGAACAAACCCGAAAGCACAGCTCTCATGCATGTTGCATGCAGTTAACACAAAAAGTTTACCAAGGTTGTATTTGGACACCACAGAATCATTGCAAGAACATGTCGTTAAATTAATTCAATGATCGAATTTTAATAAAGTTGATCTTTCCTCTACATCAGTCATATTTTTTGGATCCATCAAACACAGATTAACCCGATCATGAACACATTTAGTCTAACCCAATTACCGTTGGATCCAATAAAATGACCCATCCCAAAGTCTAATCAGTAGGTAAAATTGGCCCGATATATCATGCGGATAAAAAAAATTAGTCCATTAAGCCATCTCCAATATTATTTTAGGATCTACAGTAAATATTATAGTGCAGGGCAAACTCGTCACGCATGTCATTTGCCCGAATAATATTTTTTATTTAAACTCGTCACGTCGAGGTGACGAGTTCTAATAAAATATAATTTTTATTTGATTTTGTCAAGTCGAATGACGAGTTTCAATAAAAAAATATTTTTTATTAGAACTCGTCATGTCCACGTGACGATTTTGAAGTCATTGTAACAAATGTCGTAGTTCTCAAAATAAAATATTTAGTGTCGGGCTAAATAATTAGCCCGCCTATAGTATTGGGCCAAAATTGCCCAAATCAGTTTAACGAATAATCCAAATGTAATCTAAATCCAATTATACACTAATAAATAAATAATTGAAAAATAATAATTAAGTTAATATATATATATAATATTTAAATAATTATAAAATAGTATTTATTCAAAAAAATAATCAATTAACAATATAATACACCCTACAAGCACAATTATTCAATCCTAAAATCTTTAAGGCTAAATTACACATTTCTCACTGAATATTACTCTCTCTCCTATTTTACTCATCGTACTTTCATTTTTCTATTTTGCTCACTAAGCTTTACATATTGAATCATTTGCTCACTCTGCTATTAACTTTTTAATCATGTTATGATATGGCACAAGCATCAAAACGATTTCGTTTTAAAAAACTCAAATATACAAAAAAAATGATGTCGTTTCAAACCCTTTTCTTCCCTCCACCGCGACCACTATAGATGGTGGTCGTTCGATCTCAAAATTCATGGGTTGGTTCTTCTTGACCCCCTGAGTTCAATCTGATGGTTGTTTCACTGGAAAATGTCCTAAAATCTATGAATCTGGATTGAAACGTTTCGACTTCCTCACTTTCAATCTCCAATTAATGGACTTTGGAGCAAGTTCCAAACAAATAGAGGTCGGATTCGGACTCAAGGTGTCGAGGCAAAGCGACCCATAAAATTTGGGACCGAACGGTCACCATCTACGACGATTGACGATGGCCGATGGTAGTATCTGTCCACATTTTGTTTTTATTTATAGTTGAGTGAGCAAAATAAGAGAGATAGTAAAGTTCAATAAATAACGGTGTAATTTACCCTTTATATTTTCAATTATTTTATATTAAATAATTAAAAAATACACGTCATCACAACATTAGACACATAACAACAAAGGATTAAAATGATTCAATATGTAAAGTTTAATGAGTAAAATAAAAAATTAAAAGTACGATAAATAAAATAAGAGATATAGTAAAATTTAGTGAGAAACGATATAATTTATCCAATCTTTAACAAGAACAACATTTTAAGTCACTTTATATGTTCAACTTTTTTCATAATTAAATCACATATGTAGTTATCTTTATAGGTAATTAGATATGCTAAAGTAATAAAAAAACGTTGAGTCGTATGAGTAAGGGGAATGTACATAAATGGTCCCTAAATTATAAAATATCATTTTATTGAGTTCTTCAATTATTAAAATTAAAATGGCTTTATGACTATAGATTGTTGTTTTGTAGAGTCTACTGGCTATTAAAAGTTATAAAATAATTATTGACGATTCATATGTTATAAATTCGCCTTTTTCGTTAAAAACATGGTGGACGTTTAAGCTAGGCGTAAACATTTTAATTAAGATATGATAAAATCTGATATTATAATCATTTGAGTTGTATTTCGTTGGATCAACTTTCTATTTATATTATTTCTTTAAACCAATGCTTGAAATATTATATCATCAAACCAGTACTTGAAAGTAACAATGATGTCAATAGACATCATTAAAATATTATTTTATCATATTCGATTTAACATATTAATGTCCAATTTAAGCAGTAGTCAAATTTTTTTTAAAAAATGATGAATTTAATACATAAGTATATTCATACGATATTTTTATTTTTGTTAGTAGTTAAGAAATTCTATAAAACAATATTTTATATAATTTTTTAAAGTCGGATGCTTCGGATACTTTATCGTGTGGATAAAGACATAATTAAAGTAGGCAACGTTGGGTCGTCGACCGACTCGTTGTTTGGATCGTCCAATGTCGCGCGATATCGCCAGGTTGCGGGTGCGGCGCCAAGGAATCAACGGTGAAACAATTGACCTATTTTTTCAAACAAACACGCGTTTTGTCCATTGGGCTCGCGCGACTGCTGTACTTTTTGGACCAATATCGAGCGATATAAAGTAGCAATAGCGCGAGCGATGTCGTCAGTTTTGCAACTTCCCCTGCTCGAATTGATGCCTAATTGCACAAATCCAGTATGATTTATTTCCCTATATAAACACAGAAGTAGAAGGAAGAAGAAAGCAACTAGTTGATTTCTGAAACGATGGCCCCATTCTCGTTGCTCGGTCGTCCTCGTGTTGCTGCGCTCAGCAGGAAAGGTTTCAAATCAAGGGGGAAACGAATGCAGAAAAGGGTGAAGAGGTTGAAGTCGGAGATGGAGGCAAGAAGCGAGGAACACAAGGATATCAGGCAGGTTCAAAGACAAGTTAAAGAAAAAATTGAAGGAATTGAATCGGAGTGCGAGGAATTGCAGAGAGAGACTAGATTCATAATCCAGCAAAGTGCCAGAACCCAGGTTAAGCTAGCTCTCATGTTCCGCATATTGAAGGCCAGGGAAGACGGCGATTCGGATTCCGCTGCCAAACTCACTCAAATGCTCCGGTTAGTTCCCTAATCACTTGTTCAATATTCGCTCATATTATAAACCCTAAACTCATACATCGTTTTCTGATCGTTCAATTTCACGATCCTCGGCATTCTGAATCCATCGGAACCCTAGACTCGTTTACTGTTTGCAGTGAAGTATTATTATCGGTAGAACTGTGTTTAGGGGTGAAATTATAATATTTTAAGAGAATAAATTTATAAAATTTTTATTAGACAAATATAAATCATCAATACAAAAATAAAATATTAAAAATATACAAGAATTTGAAATTTTCACGACACGATGAAATTATGATATTTCAATGCGATTAACCTGTTTTTTTCATACAGAAAAATTGTCGGAAGGTAGGCGGAAGAGTGACGGAGGATAAAATGCCTAAGCTCCACCGTTCCATCCAAGTCTTTTAAGTACTGAATACAGTTTAGCTCTGCCTTTGCTAATAGTTACTATCTTATGTTTTTCTCTACTCAGTACAACTTTAAACTTGATCGTCGAATCAAACGTGAATAAATAAACATGTTTATGAACATATATTTATATGTCATGATATCTATCTTTATTTTTAATGCGATAAATAAACATATTCAACTCTTTTAATTTTGCATTTACATTTTCAATATCCGAGGAAGAGAGATACACATGACCACCTGCTAATGTTACGAGGCTAGAACTGAAATTTTATGTACGAAAACATGGATTGTGTGTTTAAGTTAACCTTCGATTTGGTAAAACTTTCGAGATAATGTTTTAGAAAAAATTAATTCACGAGATAAAACACTCCCAAGATTAATTGCTCAAATAAGGTGAAATCCACAGTGTTGGCCGTAGGTCGTCATGACTTCCCGGCGAGCTACAAGAGATTACATGTGCCATACACGTCCCAACACGTTGGGCATCCGAAGCCATCCGATCGAGGTCATCCGAACGAGCTATGCGAGGGCATCCGATGGCAACCGAGCGAGCTATGCGAGGGAATCCGAGGGAAGCCGAGCAAGGGTAGGTCGCCCGGAGGGCATGACGACCTACAAGGTCGCCTACAAGGTCGTCCGGAGGGCATGGCGACCTATGTGTTGGGACGTGCATGGTCATGCAACACGTTCATTCTCTCTGTTTGAGCAAGGGTAGGTCGCCCGGAGTGTATGGCGACCTACAAGGTCGCACGGAGTGCATGGCGATCTACGACCAACACTGTAGATTTCATCCTATTTGAACAATTAATATTGGGAGTGTATTAGCTCGTGAATTAATTTCTTTCAGAACATTATCTCAAAAGTTTTGCCCTTCGATTTGAATGAACAGTACATAAAACGCACCTATAGCCCAAAGGATATAACAAATTGAGTGGATGAAATCAGAATAAGAGAGAACTTAAAGAATAAAAGGAGAGATACTTAAATTGAATGCATATATTTATGTTATTTACTCGTTATATAAAACATGACGATTGAAATGGGAAGAGCTTATATGTATACTTAAGTCTCTTGTAATCGATGGTATTTTAATCGGACATAAAACATCATTTACTCCAATTATGATTAAAAAGTTTATCTACAAAACATAAGGTTCCGTTCGTTCAGAAAATATAAGTTATTTTCTATTTTTTTAAAAAAATAAAAAACATTAAAAAAACATGTTTGGTGTTAAAATTAGAAAATGATTTACAGAAAATAAAAAAAATAAGTGAAAATATGAAAACAAAAAAAGATGTTTTGAATTTTTCATTAAAGTTATTTTGGAAATTTGAAAATTATTTTCTAAAAATGAAAACAGAAATCAAAAACAAAAAATATTTTTATAACCAAACGGACTCTAAATTTTCTCTCAATATTTTTATGTCTTCTTCCTCTTTTCTTCGACTGGAGGCGACACCATTATTAATATTAATTGTTGACTGTTGGTGATTATTATTATTTTTTGTTTTTTTTTTCATATCATGTCTTTTGTTTTTATTTTTTGTTTTTCTTGAGTTTTTTTCAAAATTAAATAAAAAACTATGCCCTTGTTACTCATTTTTCTCCTCTTGTAATACATTACTTATGAATTTTGATAATTTTGTCGCATAATAGTCATATTAGTGCTCACACAAAAATCCTTACGATATTTATTTTCTGATTGGATAGTCATACGTCTTCTCAAATTCCTTACTATTATATTTTGTTTTCTCTTTGAATGTATTATAATTTTATTTTTTTCCCATTGTTTTTATTAATGAAATCACTTACCATGGTTAAAAAAAAGTCTATCTACAAAGCAATTTTTTAATACAGCTCAAAGTCTATTAAATTTTTAATGTAATGCACCATTCAGCTATTTGGTTAGTCTCATCGTTTTGGCAGAAGGACGTACAACATAGCCGTACCCAGACCATATACTTAAACATTCATCAAATGAGAAAACACACTCCATTCTCGTGCTCCCAAAGGATGATACTCCAACCGTTCCTCTTAAAAAGATGCCTCAATGAATACATATAATCCGGGCGCCACAACTACACTAAATGAAAAGCTTGTGGGTCATTTCAATATTTTGTTGTATCCCCGCCGTAGGTCTTCCGCACATTTCTCGTGTCTTACAGCCTCCGGAGGACCTGAAAGCATCTTCTAACGTTCGACACTTAAGAAATTCTGAAAACGTAAAGAGAACGTATCCAGAAGAGGGATTCTGTATATCTAGCATCCCTTGAAAAATCATCAAGATCGAGAGACATGATTTGACCTAGATGAAATCATCTCTCTTATTCGTCTCTGTTCTACCTTAGAGAACTTTGATATCGACCAATGGCCAATCCACCACCGGTTTTAGCCTTCCACCCAAACTAGGAAAGATGAGCAGCCTACAACCGTCACAACCAAATTGGCTGTCCTTGTTCCCATATGTAATGGGGCAAGGAGAGGTAAGATAGTAGGCTGCCCCAACACTAGGTTGAGGAGGAGACCTCCAAATTATGAAATGTCCTCCATGGGACTCGATCCCACGACCTAAAGATTAAAATGCTCTACCAACTGAGCTAGATGGTCATTTCCGTCACAACCAAATTAATCCCATCAAATGAAGCTAAACACGAAATACCTATATAGTTCACACTGCATATAACCTGTTCCCTAACATCAATTGCTCCCTATTTGCATAAACAAACTACATATAGCGGAAATTAGAACTCATTACATAATCCTGATGTCTGGCCTTTGTGATCCAACAATCTCCTAGAATAAGCAAACAATTTCAAGAAGATAGGCAATCCAACACTAAGCATCAAAACCTCATTTCCCAATAACACAACCATGCAAGAGAAGAAACAACAAGGACCATTAAGCAACCATAGGTTTTTGCAGTACAATATACAGGTTCATCATTCAATAACATTTATTGCAACAAATAAAGGTTTGGAGGAGATGAAAATAACAGATAAGTTTAGGATCTCACATACCCATTTGAAATACACTTAATGCCTACAACATTTCACGAGATACAATTTTTTACTGGTGCAATCAAGCATCCAAGCTCTCCATCTGAACGTTGCTTTTGAGAGGCACATACTCCCCAAGATACCCACCAAGATGATCATGCAACGCAATCTTGTCGATCCCCTGATGATGATAACTCTTGCAAACATAGTAGAACACACTTTGCACCAATAAGCCCACCAGATTCACCATCACCAAAACTCCAACCAAGAATCCCCCCACCACAATTCTCCAAAGAACCCCATACTTTTCTCCTCCGTGTACCACCACACTTCCGAAGATGCCTCCGATGACACCACAGATTGCTAAATATCCAAAAACCAAAATGAAAGCCATCCTCGCCCTCCCTTTCAACAACTCGTAACTCTTCTTCATGGCTGCAAGGCCGTAAATCGGCTCAAGCACCGACACCACACTGGCCAAATGCCAAAGCGCCGTGATGTAAACGTGAACGCCCAAGAAGAGCACCAAGACCACCAAAAACGACAGGAACGACAAGAAAGTATTCCGGGAATCCACGGAAACGACAAACAAGACCAAGAAGCCAATCAACAGGGCGTTGTAGACAAACATCAAGAGAGAAACCCATGTGAATGTAATAAAGAGGCGCTTAAAAACCTTGGGTATGGCCGCGATCGTGGAAGAGAAAGAGACCGGCTTCGACGTGTAGAGAGACGCAACGGTAAATACAACCGCAGCCGTTGACAAAAGAGAGAAGACAAAGAGGAAAATTAGGTAACCGAACTGGAAGGTTAAGAGGAGAGTCCACTCGTGACGGGTCTGACCCGGATCAGCTGAAGGATGGGACTCGAGTTGATTCAAGATGGGGTGGGTAAAAAGCGAGTGAGCCAGAATGGCGAAGGAGAGAGGGAAAACAAGAGCCAAGGTTATGAGATAGAAGGTTTTTGGGGATCTTTTGGGGATCGAAACGGACTCTCTAAAGATATCGGATATGGACAAGAACTGAAGCTCCTCCGGCGCTAGATCCATGGCGTTTATTCGCAAAAGGAATTGCAACAATTCAGGTATCTGGAAGATGAAAGGGTTGCAGATTTGGTTTTTGAAGAAAATGTGTTCATCCTTTGTAGAGAAGAAAGGTCAAGTTAGTCGGTCCTCGTATTTAATTAACACGAGGCTGTTCCAGGGATTTCCAATACATTTTATATTCTTGTCTTATTAATTAATGTGATATCTATCACGTACATTTATCTTTTTGGTATTTAATATTTTACCCATTGTGACGAAAATGTACTTGCTTTGAGCTTTAAATTACAAAGCCCGGGTTCTTCTCTAATTATTAAGTTAAATGTACCAAATTAAACATGCTTTAATAAAGGCTAATCTTCTATCCATAATAATAACATTAAATTATTTCTGGGATAAACTGAAATTTCATCATTTAACTTTATTCTTATTTTGGTTATTGTAGTTTAAAAACTTTCAATTTAATCCTATTTTGGTTATTCGAGTGTTAAATCATAAATAGAATGACGATATGACAGTCGTGTGTTTTAGTGTGGATTATTTTTATTGACATGGAATCTACAAGTCGTGACATCAATTTCCATTTTTCTTTTGTATTTTTCTTCTAGAGATGAAAGTTTTGTAGTTTCATCATATTGTCACATTGGTATTACGATTATCATTATTTGAGGTTCTCTTCCACCACTTAATATATCAACGAATTCATCTCATTTTCTCTTACCAGTATTACTTTTGATTTTATGTAATTAACTTTAAAACCCATTAGACTCGATCCTAAATCCAAAATTCATTCAATTCTAAACTACTATGATCTATAATACCTATTATTCGATCAATATGGAATCAATATATATAGCTTGATTCATTTTTCTCGTCTCCTTATCATTGAGATTTAGAAGAAAATACTTCATTGTTGAAAAATCAAAAGAAATTATAAAGTTGGGTTTTTTCAACAAAAAAAAGAAATAAATAAATAAAATTTTGAGAAAATATCATTTTTAAAAGAAAATGTCTAATCATAATGTTATTAAATACTAAACGGATGAGTGATTAAAATATAAACAACTCAAAAATTTAATTAATATAGTGAATTTTG